CGGGTGCTGAGCAAGGGGTGCTGCACAAAGCGAGGGCAGCGTGTTGGGTGCTGGGTGCTGAGCCCCCCAATTCCCGTTGCAGGACCACGCCTTCCGCTTGCTGCAGCCCGGCGGGGTCCTCACCTACTGCAACCTGACCTCCTGGGGGGAGCTGCTGAAGACCAAGTACACCGACATCGAGAAGATGTTTGAGGTGAGCGTTGATCCCCGGGCTGGGGAGGGCCTGGCACCCCCAGCTCGACCCGGGGTCCCCAAAGCTGCGCCGTCAGCCTGCGCACCTCCTGCATCCCCGAGCGCTCACCCAGCACCGGGGAGCAGCATGAGCCGGAGTGCTCCGTGGCCATTTAATTCATCCGCGATGGCTGGGGCTCAGCAGGGAACATTTGAGGGAAGGGCAGAGGGTTTTCGCCCACCGCAGCCCCTGCACCCGGCTGCTCGCGCTGTCCCGTGTCTCCGCAGGCTCAGCAGCATCTCCGCTCGCATCCGGGCAGCTCAAACCACAGCTGCTCCTTCCCGCCCCTCCTCTCGCGCAGGAGACGCAGGTAGGGCACCTGATGGAGGCCGGGTTCAAGAAGGAGAACATCAGCACGGTGGTGATGGACCTGGTGCCCCCCAAGGACTGCAGGTACTACTCCTTCCACAAGGTGATCACACCCACCGTCGTTAAGCACTGAGGGTGCCGGCAGCCCGGCACCGTCCCTCGGGGCTGCCCCGAAGCCGCAGGAAGGAAACGCGGAGGAGGAGAGGCTGATTCTGTGCACCACGAGGAGGAGAAAAGAGGAGAAAAGCTTTTATCTTCTTTGATGCTAATCAAAGAAGATCGAAGCTGTTTTATCTGGAGGCAGGAGATGGCTGGAGGCTTGGGATGGAAGTCCCAGGTCTCCAGGGGAAGCTCCTGGAGATGCTGGGAGCCCAATGCAGCCCCCTGCGGAGGAAGGTCCCACCCGCGTCTGTCCCAGAGGCCGGTTTCCACTCAGTCCTCGCCCTCCTCTCCAGATACCTCAGCTAAGCTGCAGTTCAAGAGCGTAGCTCGGAGCCTTTAGCCAAAGGGGGTCAAGGATGAGACGTCTCCTCCAAAAACTGGATCCTTTTTCGAAATCGTGGGGTTGCTTTCCACACACGAGCCAAATAATCTAAAACCAGGCGGGAGAAATGGGGAAGACGGGGCAGTTGGAGGCATTTTGACTGCTCCTGGAGCAACCCCCCAGTGAAGTTTCCCCGATACCTTTGGCTAAAGCCCACCGCAGCAAGTTCTGCTCCCGACAACCTCCCTACAGTTCAACGGCGCATAAACGACGCTTCCTCTCTCTACCCAGAAGGGATAAAAATCCATTAAAAAGGAATGAAATACAGAGCTGGCATTTCGGAGCAATTGTATTTGTCTTTCAAAAGCGCGTGTGTAACTCTGCAGCGACTGCTCCTCGTCCCAGGCTGCCGGGAGAACACCGCACCCGGCTCCTGGGACGCAGCCAGTACCAAAGCCCGCCACGCTTTATTCCGACTCTGCCAAGGAGTGCTGCAGCATTCATTTTTATTAGTCACATTCTGATTTTAAGCATTAATATTTTACTCACCATTACAGAAATATAATTAATTTCTGGCTGCTGTGCACACACATATAAAGGATTTATTAGATCCTTCGTAGGAATTATAAACAAAAAGCAGGTGGTGAGTAAGAGACGAGCTGAGGGAGACCTCGGGGTTCACCCGATGTCCGTTGGTCTCAAAACTTCCTAACCAAGCCGAAGAGGGAGCCCCAGGTTTCTGGCAAGGCGTTTACGGCACAACAGGTAACTTCAAACATTCTCCTTCTCTCACAGGCCATTCAGACCGGAAAACAACACAGGGCATGTTATCAAATTTAACCCCCGCTTTTTAATTCGGCTTTTAAACGAGTGAAAACATTTTAGATAAGAGCGATATATTAAAGACAGAAGAG